CTGGAGTAAAATCTGCTGCTCTCACACACTCCCACACACACACACACACACACAGAGAGAGAGAGAGAGAGAGAGGGAGAGAGACGCATCTACACACTTGTGGAAACAAAACACACAAGCAAAGCGTGTTTTTCTTGACCATGACGGATACTGCAGCCGAGGAGGACAAGGACCCTGATATTGAGCTATTTGTCAAGGTGGGGAGTTGTGTGTGTGTGTGTGTGTGTGTGTGTGTGTTTTAGTGTTTGTACAGTTTGTGTACATCACAAGCTGACACTAGATCAGTTTAATTCTCACTTCTAAATTACATTCCTGTACAAAACTTCTCTCAACTATCTCAACCTGCATTCTGCCTGTAATCATTGTTATTTTTGTGCAGGACACGTAAAATGTAAGCTGCACATACACACACTATAGAATCTGTCAAACAGTTAGAGTGTGTGTGTATGTTTGAGGATGGCTCCTTTAAGCGTGTGCATGCCACGTTGTTGTTGTTGTGTGCTGATTTTCCGTGTGTTAACCTGACACCCACGTGTATAGACAATCTCTCTCTTTCTCTCTCCCAATAAATTATTAATGGGCTCCTTTCAGTATTGAGAACAGCCGCTTTAAATGGTCTAAGGTTATGATACAATATGTGTGTGTTAGGTATGCCTGTGTGCGCTTATGGACAGGTTTTAGCATGTCCTTTTTCTTAGCTGACCAACACAGTAAGACACATTGCTCTCTGATAGTAATAGTAATTATAGTAAAAATTATTTCATTTTCTTCATTACACAGGCTTTCAGCGTCAACACAGTTGTTTTATCATCTCTGAGTCTGAACACAGTGTAGAGTTATAGTAGTTTGAGTGTCTCTGTGAAATGAAGTCATGCTTTGGACTGTTTCTTCCTCTCCTCCGTGACTCCTTCTTGTTGCAAGTTTCCAGCAAGTTAGACACATGAGTTTGATGTCACTGTTTTGCAATGTGCGACTGGAAGAAAAAAATGCTGGCATTGATGAAAGGAATTGGTAGACTTGGTGGATGTACGACTCTAATGGATCGGACAATTTAAAACCGGTTCTCAACTGGAACTGATTCCCGATTCCCATCCCTAGGAATAGTTAGACATTTTTTTAATATGGACATTTGCTTCCTTGCAGAGAGTTGGAGAAAACTGATACCACTCTCACATCTGTATGCTAAATACGAAGCTATAGCCAGCAGCTTGTTAGCTCAGCTCAGCATAAAGATTGGAAACAGGGGGAAGCAGCTACTGAAGCTCATGAAATCTGCCTACCATCCCCTCTGAAACTAATTTACAAGTTATATCCTGTTTGCCTGATCCGTTGGAAAGTGGGAAACTAGACACTGGGTGTAATTTAGGAACTGGATACTGGACTCTATGATGGTGCCTATTAATTTAAATAAAAACTGTGCAATAGAGCAAAATGCAAATAAGGTTTTGTAGCCACACTGCACATGTACATACATTACAAAATAATCACTTTTCTGGACTCCGAGTAAGTTTTACAAACAGAAAACCCAAGAAAATGAGAACTATGGGGAAAATGCTTCTGGGACCATTTTGCTGCAGACGAAACAAACTGTCAGTATAAAACAGCAAATCTGACAAATGGGGTAAGATGACTGGACTTGTTTCCCCAGGAATTTCATAAAATAAGTGTAGCTCACACATGTGTATTGGGTTCAGTAAAAGTGTGTGTTTCTTTGGATCGACAGACAAGTATTATGACCGGACAGTAGGTTGTATGATTTCTAAACACTGTACACTTCTACAGTATGAGAGGATCCAAAAGTCCAAACAGGCAGTGAGGCGGCTAATGGAAGCAGTGTGGATTATTCATGTTGGACTTGGTGTCTCATTACAGTGTCCCATTGCAGCTTTGCGTGCACAAACACACACACACACACACACACACACACACACTTACACACACATGCTCAAGCGCTTTCATTCTAGTGTATATGATCATATGC